AAAAAAAAAAAAAAATGTGGCCAGGCGCATACTGTAGTCCCAGCTACTTGGGACAATGCTGGAGCCTGGGTGAACAATGATGGCACCACTGCATGCCAGCCTGGGAGACACAGCAAGGCCCTGTCTCAGAAAAGAAAAAAGAAATACAAAGGCACAATGTGGTAAGTACTTTCACAGAGGATGGATAAAGGGTCCTGGGATACACAGGAGGGAGAGACTCTCCCTCTCAGAGACAGAATCTAAAAAGGCTGCTTTCAGGGAAACGTGGCCTGAGAGGCCTTGTTGGACAAGTTCCCTTAACGTGCTAAGAAGCAAAGACCTGCTTCACTGGCCAAAAGAACATGCCTCACGCCTGTGTTCCTCAGCAGCCTGCCTGGGGTTTCCTGTGCCAGGCCTCTGCTGCCCCCTGGTGACTATGCTGTGCACACCACCGCCAGACGAGGGCGCCACCCACATGGCTGGCAGACACAGCTGACCCCATGGCCTGTTGGCCAGCCATTGGCAGCCCGTTTCTCATTTCTCCCTGTGCTTTTCTTTTTCCCTTTTTCTTTGGAAACAGAGTCGCCCAAGCTGGAGTGCAGTGGCACGATCTCAGCTTACTGCAACCTCTGCCTCCCAGGCTCAAGTGACCCTCCCACCTCATACTCCAAAGTAGCTGGGACTTCAAGCACGCACCCTCATGCCCAGATAATATTTTTGTATTTTTTCTAGAGATGGGGTTTTGCCATGTTGCCCAGCCTGGTCTCAGACTCCTGGGCTCAAGCGCTCCGCCTGCCTTGGCCTCCTTAAATGCCGGGATGACGGGCATGAGCCACCATGCCCAGCCCTCCCTGTGCTTTCCCTCCCATACTCCACCCACACTCCAACCAGATCCACAGACAAGGCTGAGGGGCCCTCCACCTATTCAGAAAGGGCAGCCTTCTGCAAGGACAGGCCCATAAGCATGTGGCTCAGCAAGGAAGTGGCATCTTGCAGAGTGCACAGGTCAACACATGCATGTAAGGGGGGTAAGGCTACCAGGTTAGGTCTTTGTTCTGCACACGGGAGAGCCCTGTGTCCAAGCTTCCTGCCCTCAGTTCCCATATGCTTGTTCATGCCCGTCTGTGAGACCCCCATGACCCTACCCGCTCTTGCCCTGCCCACACCCTAGCTCTGGTGTCTCAACCTCCAGGACTAGGAGCACCCCAGTCCTTTCTCTTACAGACTCGCCTTACCTCCCTGAGACAGAGGAAGAAGTCAGTCCCATGGCTCACAAGGCAAGCCCTGAACCCAGGTATCACTCAGATGCCAAAAACTCCAGCCATCCCAGGAACTGGCACCGCCCCATGGTGGGCAGTGCTGTGCTCTCAGCTGGATGGAGCCCCTGTGGATGCAGCGTGGCAGGCAGCCTGGCTTTCCTGATGCCCCAGCACTTGCCACATGCCACCCATCCGGGCCCCCAGAGCTATACCTGCAGCAAGGCCAGGTCCGCATCCTGGGCTAGCTGCTGCAGGTTCTTCACAGCAGATGTGGTCTTGATCACCCGCACTAGGGCAGGGGAACAGTCGACAGGAAGCTCACTCAGCAAGGACTTCTCGTCACTGAGCAGCAGCAGGGCATGGTACGGGCTGAAAAACAGTATCCTGTCATGGAACACACAAAGTGCAGGGTTCCCTGCACACGTATGCACTTGAGACACAAACGTGCAGCTGGAGCCCCCCAGCCCTCAACTGCAGAGAGAAGAGCCAAGAGAGTGATCAGACAGAAGGGCAGTGGTATGTTCGAAGGCCTTCACAAAATCTGCCTAGGACTGGCCGGGCACAGTGGCTCATGTCTGTAATCCCAGCACTTTGGCAGGCCGAGGTATGTGGGTCACCTGAGGTCAGGATATCGAGACCACTCTGGCCAACATGGTGAAATACCATCTCTACTAAAAATACAAAAATTATCCAGATGTGATTGCACCCACCTGGCATCCTAGCTACTTGGGAGGCTGAGGCAGGAGAATCCCTTGAGCCTGGGAGGCGGAGGCTGCAGTGAGGTGAGATTGCACCACTGCACTCCAGCCTGGGCAACAGAGCAAGACTCCATCTCAAAAAAAAAGAGAGAGGCCGAGGCGGATGGATCATGAGGTCAAGAGATCGAGACCATCCTGGTCAATACGGTGAAACCCCGTCTCTACTAAAAATACAAAAAATTAGCTGGGCATTGTGGTGCGTGCCTGTAATCCCAGCTACTCAGGAGGCTGAGGCAGGAGAACTGCCTGAACCCAGGAGGCGGAGGTTGCAGTGAGCCAAGACCGCGCCATTGCACTCCAGTCTGGGTAACAAGAGCAAAAACTCCATCTCAAAAAAAAAAAAAAAGAGAGAAAAAGAAAAAGAAAATCAAATTAAGAAAGTACACTTTGGGAGGCCGAGACGGGTGGACCACCTGAGGTCAGGAATTTAAGATCAGCCAGGCCAACACAGTGAAACCCCATCTCTACTAAAAATACAAAACAATTAGCCAGGCATGGCAGTGGGCACTGGTAATCCCAGCTACTCAGGAGGCTGAGGCAGGAGAATCACTTAAACCCAGGAGGCGGAGGTTGCAGTGAACCAAGATCACACCACTGCACTCCAGACTGGGCGATAACAGCGAAACTCTGTTTCATAAAAAGAAAGTAACTGAGATTCCACAAGTGCTGACTGAAATGCAGAAGGCTGGGGCGGAGGCAACACCATCAAGATGAAGTCCCTCCAGCCATGCAGCCTCCCCCAGGACACTCAGCCCCACATCCAGGCTGCCCTGCCCAGGCCTGAGGTGGCGCCAGCAGGGCCCAGGAGAAACCTGGAATTGGTCATTTCTAGACACAAGTGGACACAAAACTATGTGTTTTGACTTCTATAAACAGCGAGCCCCACCCGCCAGCTTCCGCAGCAGGAAGAGGAAAGAGAATTTGGGGAACAAAGTAAATGGTAAAATCTCAGGCAGACGCTAACAGGAAGGGCCTTGACAGCCAGTGAGCACATGGAGCTAGGCACTCACCGGATGGCTTTCAGGCTCCGTTCGATGGCCTCTGGGGGAATCAGGCTGGAGGCCGCATAGTGGATCTTGTGGGGCAGGCAGAAGCTCACCTCCAGCCAGCTGTTGATGTGAAGCCGAACCACGCCCGACGTGCACAGGCTGCAGAGAGTGGGCGCTGTTACCATGGACACTGTCCACCGATTCACACACACTTTCCAACCATGCACACAGATCAGAAAACATCCTGCGCTACAGTGCTGATTCCCCTGCTGCTTAGAGGAAACTGCAGGTGGAGACCTGGGCAAGAGAGCATCTCTTAAGATCTCATTATGTTTAAGAAAAGAAAATACGGCCAGGTGTGGTGGCTCATGCCTGCAATCCCAACACTTTGAGAGGCCAAAGTGGGAGGATCACTCGAGAGCCCAGGAGTTCGAGACCACCCTGGGCACAGTGAGACACACCCCTCACCTTCTTCTCTGAGAGAGAATCTTGCTCTGTCACCCAGGCTGGAGTGGAGTGCAGTGGCATGATCTTGGCTCATGGCAACGGCCGCTTCCTGGCTTCAAGCAATTCTCCTGCTCAGCCTCCCAAGTGGCTGGGATTATAGGTGCCCACCACAGCGCCAGCTAATTTTTGTATTTTTAGTAGAGACAGGATTTCACCATCTTAGTCAGGCTGGTCTCAAACTCCTGACCTCATGATCCACCTGCCTCAGCCTCCCAAAGTTCTGGGATTACAGGTGTGAGCCACTGTGCCCAGTAAGACCTACTCGAAAGGCCATCCTGGCTAACATGGTGAAATCCCGTCTCTACTAAAAATACAAAAATTAGCCAGGCACGGTGGTGTGTGCCTATAGTCCCAGCTACTTGGGAGGCTGAGGCAGGAGAATTGTTTGAATCTGGGAGGCAGAGGTTGCAACATGAGCCAAGATCACACCACTGCATTCCAGCCTGGAGACAGAGTGAGACTCTGCC